TTACCATGACCCCTTCCCTCCACTACCTGGCAACAACCATTCTGCTTTCTTTTTTTTTATGTACCCTTTAACCCCATGCACCAGCCTCTGGTAACCAACATTTCACTCTCTTTTACTAAAGAGTTTGGCTTTTATTTTTTGAATTCCACATATAAGTGATGTCAAGCAGTATCTGTGTCTGACTTATTTCACTTAGCATAATGCCCTCAATGGTTCATCCATGTTCTTGCAAAAAATGACACGATATTCTTCTTTTTTAAGGCTGGATAATATCCCATTGTTCATATATACCACATTTTCTTTATTCATTCATCAGTCAATGGACATTTTTGTTGTGTGCATATTAAGGCCTCTGTGAATAATGCTGCAATGAACACAAGAAAGCAGAAATCTCTTTGAGATAGTGATTTTATAACCTTTGGATATATATTCAAAAGTGAGATTAATGGATCATATGGTGGATCTATTTATAATTTTTGAAGAACCTCCATACTCTTTTCCATAATGGCTATACCAATTTACATTCCCACAGTGTACAAGGTTTCCTTTTTTTCTCCACATCCTCGCTAACACTTGTTATTTTTTGTCTTTTGATAATAGCCATGGCTAGCAGGTGTGAGGTGATGTCTCATTGTGGTTTTGATTTGCATTTCCCTAATACTTAATAATGTTGAGCATCTTTTCATATACCTGTTTTCCATTTGTATGTCTTCTTTGGAAAAATGTCAATATAGGTCATTTGCCCATTTTTAAAATGGGATTATTTGATTTTGGCTATTGAGTTATGTGTTGTTTATATGTTTTGGATATTAACTCCTTATCAGATATATAGGTTGCAAATATTTTCTCGTATTCTGTAGATTGCCTTTTCATTTTTTGATTGTTTCCTTTGCTAGGCAGGAACTTTTTGATTTGATGTAATCCCACTTGTGTATTTTTGCTTTTGTTGCCTCTGCATTTGTTGTCAAATCCATAAAAACATTGCCAAGACAAATGTCAAGGAGCTTTTCCCTCATGTTTTCTTGGAGTTTTATAGTTTCAGGTCTTATGTTTAAGTCTTTAATCCATTTTGAGTTGATTTTTGTGTATGGTGTGAAATAAGTATCCAATTTCATTCTTTTGCATGTGGATATCCAATTCTCCCAATACAATTTATTGAAAAGACAATACATTCCCCATTGTGTATTCTCGGCACTTTTGACAAAAATTAGTTGACCATATGTGTGTAGGTTTATTTATGAGCTCTCTATTCTGTTCTATTTGTACATGAGTCTGTTTTTATGGCATACCATACTGTTTTGATTACTATAGCTTTGTAATATAGTTTGAAATAAAGAAGTGCCTCCAGCTATAGTCTTCTTGCTTAAGGTAGCCTTAGCTCCTCAGGGTCTTTTGTGGTTCTATACTAATTTTAGGAAATTTTTTCTATTTCTGTGAAAAAAGCCATTGGAATTTTCATAATTGTTGCATTGAATCTGTGTATCACTTGGGTATTATAGACATTTTAACAATAATAATTCTTCCAATCCATGAACACAGTATATCTTTCCATTTATTTTTGACTTCTACAATTTCTTTCATCAATGTTTCATAGTTTTCAGTGTACAGATCTTTCACATACTTGGTTAAATTTACTCCTATGTATTTTATTACTTTTGATGCTATTGTAAATGGGATTGTTTTCTTAATTTGGGGGCATAGATCATTGTTAATGTATAGAAAATCAACTGCTTTTGGTATGTTGATTTTGCATCCTGCAACTTGACTGAATTTGTGTGTCAGTTCTAACAGTGTTTTGGTGGAGTTTTTAGGGTTTCCTATGTATACAACTATGTCATCTGTAAACAGACAATTTAACTTCTTCCTTTTTTATTTGGACGCCTTTTATTTATTTTTCTTGCTAAATTTTTCTGTCTAGATCTTCCAGGACTATTTTAAATAGAAGTGATGACAGTGGTCACACTTGTCTTGTTCCAGAACTTAGAGGAAAACCTTCAGCTTTTCAAGGATGGGTATGATGTTTACTATGGACTTGTCATATATGGCCTTTATAATGTTGAGGTATATTCCTTCTATACATAAATTTGTTGATAATTTTTATCATGATGATACTGAATATTGTCAAATGATTTTTCTGCATCTATTGAGATGATCATATGATTTTTATACCTTAGTTTGTTAATGTGGTGTATCACATTTATTGATTTGTGTATGTTGAACCATACTTGCATTTCAGGAATAAATACCACATGATCATGGTGTATGATCCTTTTAATGTGTTGTTGAATTCATTTTGCTAGTATTTTGTTAAGGAGTTTTGAATCTATGTTCATTAGGATTGTTGCCTGGTAAGTTTCATTTCTTGTAATGACCTCTGGTTTTGGTATTAGGGATATACTGGCCTCATAAAATGAGTTTGGAAGTGTACTTACATCTTCTATTTTGGAAATGTTTGAGAAGGATTGGTATTAATAGTTCTTTAAATGTTTGGTAAAATTCACCAGTGAAGCCATGAAGTTCTGGTCTTTTGTTTATTAGGAGGTCTTTGATTACTGATTCAATCTCCTTACTAGTTTTAGTTCTACTCCTATTTTCTATTTCTTCGTGATTCAGTATTGGTAGGCTGTATTTTCTCTAGGGATTTATCCATTTCTTCTCGGTTATCCAATTTTTTGGCTTATAATTTTTCACAGTAGTCTCTTATAATCCTTTGCATTTCTGTGGTATCACTTGTAATGTCTTCTCTGTACATTTTTAATTTTATTTATTTAAAAATTCGCCTTTTTTCTTTGTCTAGATGTTTGTCATTTAAAAAAATCTTTCCAAAAAACCAGCTCATAGTTTTGTTGATATTTTCTATGGGTTTCCTAGTTTCTGTTTCATTTACTTCTGCTCTGACCTTTGTTATTCCCTTCCTTCCTTCTACCAACTTTGGGCTTACTTTGTTCTTCTTTGCTTATTTCCTTGAGATGTAAAGTTAGGTTATTTATTGAGCTCTTTCTTTTTTTTTAAATATATGTGTTTACCACTATAAATTTTCCTCTTAGAACTGCTGTTGCTGCATCTCATAATTTCTGGTATGCTGTGTTTCTATTACGGTTGTTTCAAGATATTTTTTTGATTTTCCTTTTGATTTCTTCTTTGACCAATAAGTTTCTCATGAGTGTGTTGTTTATTTTTCACATATATGTGAATTTTCCTGCCTTCTCCTTGATATTTATTTATAGTTTCTACCACTGTGATCAGGAAAGATACTTGATATGATTTCAATCATCTTAAATTTGTTAAGACTTGTTCTGTGTCTAACATATAATCTATGCTGGAGAATGTTTCAAGTACATTTGAGGAGAATTTGTATTTTTCTATTGTTGGATGGAATGTTATGTGTATATTTTTTAAGTCCATTTGATGTAGCATGTAGTTCAAGTTCAACATTTTCTTATTAATTTTGTCTCTATGATCTATCTAGTGTTGAAAGTGAGATATTAAAATCTCCTACAATTTTTGTATTGATGTGTATTTCTACCTTCTGATCTGTTAATATTTGCTTTATATGTTTAGGTGCTCTGCTGTCGAGTGCATAAATATTTACTATTGATATATCATTTATGAATTGATCTCTTTTTATGATCTTCTTTGCTTCATGTTACAGTTTTTACTTAATGTCAATTTTGTCTGACATAAGTATAGCTACCCCTGCTCTCTTTTGGATTCCATTTGTATGCATTATCTTCTTCCATCCCTTTACCTTCAGTCTATGTGTTTCCTTGAAACTGAAGTGAATCTCTTGTAGGCAGCATGCAATTGTTTCTTGGTCTTCACCTATTGAACCATGCTAGGTCTTTTGATTGGAAAATTTAGTCCACTTACACCTAAAGTGATTATTGTTTGGTAATTTTTGCCATTTTCTTAATTGTTTTCTAGGTGTTTTGGAGGTCTTTTGTTATTTTCTTCCTCTTGTGCTATCTTCCTTTGTGATTTGATGATTTTATACTTTTGTTCTTTTCTCTTTATGTTTTGTGTATCTTCTATAGGTTTTTGTTCTGTAGTTACCATGAGGCTCACCAAAAATATCTTATAGTTATCACAATATATTTTAAGCTGATTATTTACCTTTGATCACATATGAAAGCTCTACATTTTTACTCTCCTCACCCTCACATTTTATGTTTTTGATGTCACAATTTACAACATTTTATATTATGTATTTACTAACATATTATTGTATCTACAGTCATTTTAATGCTTTTGTCTTTTAACCTTTATGCTAAAGTGATTTACATACCCCATTACAATATTAGAGTAGTCTGAATTTGACTATATATGTACCTTTACCAGTGAGTTCATACTTTTATATATTTTCCCGTTACAAATCAGCATTCTTTGCATTTCAAGTTAAAAAACTCCCTTTTGCATTTCTTATAAGGCAGGTCTCTTGGTGATGAACTTCTTCAGTTTCTGTTTGCCTGGGAAAATCCTTATCTCTCTTTTAATTCTTAAGGACAACTTCGCCAGGTAAAGTATTTTTGGTTGGCAGTTTTTTTTTTCTTTCAGTACTTTGAATATATCATATCACTCCCTCTGGCATGCAAGTTTGTGGTGAAAAATCTGCTGATAGTCTTATGAGGGCTTATTTTTATGTCACAAGTCATTTTTCTCTTACTGCTTTAAAGATTCTCTCTTTATATTTAACTTCTGATAATTTATTTATAATGCATCTTGGCTTGGGTCTCTATGGATGCATCCTATTTCATATTTTTTGGGCATCCTGGTCTTAGATGTCTGTTTCTTACTGTAGGCTTGCGAAGTTTTCAAACATTATTTCTTTGAATAACCATTCTGTGCTTTTATCATTCTCTTTTCTTTCTGAGACTCCAAGAATGTGTATATTGATCTGTCTAATGATGTCTCATAATCTATCTTTTTCTTTCTTTTGTCTTCCCTGATGGGATGATCTCCACTGACCTATCTTCAAGTTCACTGATCTTTTCTGTTTGACGTAGTCTGCTATTGAACTCCTCTATTGAATTTTTCAGTGCAGTTTTTATATTCTTCAGGTTTATGTTTCTGCTTGGTTCTTTTTTATAATTTTTAGCTCTTTTTTGAAATTCTCACTTTGTTCATGTGTTGCTCTCTTGATGTTGGTGAGTATCTCTATGTGCTTTATTTTGAATCATTTATTGTGTAAATCATTATCTACATTTCATTGGGATTGGTTTCTTGATATTTGTGTTATTTTGTTCCAAACGTATTCCCTTGTTTCTTCATTTTCTTTAATTTTCGGTAATGGATCTGTGCATTAGATAATACAGCCACCTCTCTCCATCTTGACAGACTGGCCTCATGTAGAAGATGAACTTCACCAATCAGTCTGGTCCAAGATTCTGGGTGTCTCTCAAATCCTTGTGCTTGTCCAAACTGCTGTCTTTGTTCTTAGTGGTCTTCAGCAGATTAGGATGCACCAAGTCTCATCAGTACCCTGAAACAGGGTAAATGCCCACCTGTTCTTTCAGACTCTCAGAGGACTACTAATTGCAGCTTCCAGATGCAGGCTAATTGGAAACCCAACCTTAGGGCAGCAGCTGGGAATGTTGGGGTATTACATATGTAGTCTATCCCCTATCAGGGAGAAACTGGGAGCTGGGTGATTTTGCCTAATTGCTCTGTATTAATCCAGGGGGACTAGCCACTGGAGGTGCTTCTGTGCCTATATAGAAATGCATCTTTGTTCTCTGTGGTCCTGGGGGACTCACACATGCCTACTCCCATCAATTCCCAGAGCAAGGTGATTTGGGAGCCATTCTCTTGGTTGGTAGCCATAAAAATTGAGGCATTATATGTGTAGACAGGATATTTCCAGAGAGAGTCTTGAGACTTGGTTTTGTTATTAGAGCAAGCCAGGGTAGATGGTGTGGGAAGTACCCCCAAACCCTTTCAGGTTCTTGAAGACGCCCAGTCATCTCTCAGATGTAGATTAACTAGAAGACTGACCCTTGGGCAACAGCTGAGAAAGTATGCAGTCAAATCCCCTCTGGGGAGAAACTGAGTGTACTGCATTTTTGCCTGCTCCTCCTGCATTGTGCCTGAGGTGATAGCCGTGGGAAGTGCTCATACACCCTGTTAAAAATACCCTCTTTTTTTTTTTTTAACTCTAGGGCACTTGCAGTTGCCAAGCCCTTTCAGCTTTTACAGCTATGCAATTTTGGAGCCAGTCCCTTGGATAGTATCTCTAAAAGTTGGTATGATAGATGTGTAGTCCAAACCATTTGCTCATTAGGAAGAAGTTAGGAGCTGAGAGTTCCCTCCTGATTATAAGGTGCTGTGCTAGGGGAGGTTATGGTGTGAGTGTGTCTCAGGTTTTCCTACCTGTATCAATGTGGGCATTTTCCCAGTTACCCAATGTATAGGACTCACTCAACTACTTTAGATTTCTCTCAGAATTGATCCATGTGTAGCTGTTTATTTGGTGCATCCATGGTAGGAGGGAAAGTCAAGAGCTTCCTATTCTGCCATCTTGCTTACCTCCTTTCCTGGTATATATTTATTAACAGACATGGAGGAGGCCCATGGTAAGGTGCCCTTGGCCACTGGGTTAATGCAATTTTTTTCTACCTCAATAAATGGAGCTTCTACTAGAGGGGGAGAGGTCATTATAATTAATAGGAAAAGAGGTCCATAGTTGTAAGGGTATACATTGTTGGCAGGGTTTACATTTATCATATTTCCAGGGATTAGTAGACCTATAATTTTATCTGTACAATCCCTTAAGGTTTGCTGGTATTGGATCTTGATTATTGCAGAATTTTTAGTTTGATTGCACTGATCACAGGCATCCTGGTTGTAATATTTTGTACATACTATGTCTAGGTATTCCTTAAATGATACTCAATATATAGTGTTTCATTGATCTATTTGTTCAATGGCACTAGTTAATAATAGTGGGTTTCATCTGATTTGAAGTAAAAGTTGGTTCATAGAGCTTAGAATCCATCTATGAGTCACAGATGATATCATAGAGAATGACTTAGATGGAAGGATGTTGCTATTGGTATTACAGATAAAAGGAGTGCTAGCCTCAGTGTTATTGTCTATGGATGTGTTAGTAAGACTGACCAACTGAAACAATTATCACGGTTCACATTGTCCCAAATCTGACCTGTGTTTTGTCTCCCTGTGGTGTGCATATGGCATGCTGTTTCCACACATACCTTTTCTGCAGTAGGGTCTAGATTACCAGGGCTAGGTTTATCTATCATTGGATGTATAGTTGACATTGGTAAGAATGGAAACTTCTCAGGTAAGGAAAGAGTAGAACGACAGAGTAGGGGTAAAAGTTGGAGGTCATCTGTGGCCAGCATTAGGGGATCTGATTTTTCCCTGGGGATCACCTAAATGGTGATACTCTCTCCAGGAATTATTAATTCCACATGCTGTGTGACAGGAGCAGGTCAAGGCTTGTTCCATGGTGCCTTTAGTGGAGCAAAGTACATGGGTGGAAAATGAAGACTGTCCTCTTTTCAGATAGTGGTGGATGGTTTGCTTAGATTATGCTGGATGACAAGCAGTTGCAGCCTCAGAATAGACCCAGAGTCAGTCTATTGGTCCATGCCAGGTCATTGTCAGGATTGATGAAAAAGTGGCTAGGCTCTGGATTTTCTGAGGTAGAAGGAAAAGTTGGAAGTACCAGGGAGATATTTCTTTGCTGTGGGTGGTTATGTCAGGGCTCCCATATACATTAAAATTGGTAATCATTTTGTGTCCAGTGTGGTTGCATACACCAACAGAGGTTTCAGCATCTTGTTTGGTGGTCTCCTTATTTGTTATGAATTTAAATATGGTATAGTTGTGACATGGGTGCATGGATTTAATTTAATCACGACTATGGGCAGTATTTTTGACCCCTTGGGATGCTGTTGTCCTGCAAGTTCTCTCAGTTGCCCTTGTTTTAAAAGCCTATTACATCTTTCTTGGTACTGGCTACTATAGGATCATAGACTAGGTAAAAATACACAAGCAATGTTGTTTTGTAAGGCCCATTGTTGTGTTTGCTTTGCAGAGAATTAGGAGTCTTGATCTGACTGTATAATTTTGCATAACTTTGGTACTCCCAAAGCCTGTAAAAGCCATTTTGGTAAATCCTCAATAACAATAGCATAGGTTGCTGCCTCACATGGGTAAGCCAATTGTAGGTCTGTGTATGTATCTACCATAGGTAAGGCATATTTAGTAGCTCCTTCTGCTTCATAGAGAGGCCCAATAAAGTTGATTTGACACTTCTTATGTGGCCCTTATCTGTAAATTTCTCCTCCCATGCAGCACATCTAAATGTCTAGATTTCTGGCATGTCATAGAGTCCCTAATGGCTTTATGTAAATGTATCTCTGCTGGGTTGATTCCTTTATGAACAATAAATTTTTATAACCCCATGATGCCCAATGTCCTGATCTCTAATGTGCCCACTGATAGGAAAGGTAGAGTGGCTTATCCCAAAGTTTTGGGAACTCCTCCTCCTTCAAGAGGCTTAGCTATCTTTTGTGGTTTAGTTAGTCAGCTTTGGTGTTGTATTGTGCTTCCTTCATGTCTTGTTTGGTATGAGCTGAGGTATGGGTACCAAGATTGGCAGAGTCGGGAATAATATGGTAACTTTCCCCATATCTCCTTATCCCAAATGTCTCAGCCTTCTATTCTCTAGTCCTGATTTTGTTAAAGTTTTGACCAAGCCCACTGATCAGGAGTCAGTGAAAATATGAACCTTAGAAAAATATTTGTCAAAGGCATTCTCTATTTCTAGGAGTACTGAATATAGCTTGGTCCATTGGGCACTTTTGTTTATCTCCTTAATGGAAATCGGAGTATTTGTATAAGGGTAATAGGCTGCAGCTGTCCATTGTCTATCCCCTTTATTCCCTGTGCTCACTCCATTGGTAAAGAAAACCATCACTTTTCTTGTATTGAGAGTGCTGACCATCCTCCCTCCAGTTCCCACTGAGCAAGAGCCAGAGGCATTTCTGGGGGTTTTAGCAAGTTAACCTAAGTAGCTGGGTATGTGGCTATATCATCATGGAGCAATGGCAGTTTAGTAGGGCCAGGTTTAGCTAAATCCTATAGATACCATTTTAATAAAGACCCCTCTGTTGCCAATCTAATTTTAAAGGAAAATTTTTTCATTACTTAGGGCATAACAAGAATATCGTTCCATAGGTTAATTGGCTTTCCTCCAGTAAGATCTTCATTTTCAATAGGTGCCCCATATGTTGCCAGGTGGTACCTTTCTAGTGGTGAATACTTTAAGCTGAGTCTAGAAGCTACTTACAGCAAAAACCTGTCCATTTGGTACACAGGCTCCAGAAAGCAAATTTGAGGGTGGCAGAAACTTATAATTGTGTGTTCTGTTCTTGAGGGCACTAGTGGTAGAGCCAAAGTAGTAGCCTCTTTTAGTTTATCTAGTGCCTGTTGTTGCTCAGCTCCCCACTGAAAAGTGGATTTACGGGTGTCTTAATATACACCTTGATAGGGGTCAGCAAATAATGGATGTGAGAAATGTACTGCTGCCCAAATTGGATCATTCCTATCAAATGTTGGTGCTTCTTTACCAATGTGAAAAGTTAGGGCACTAGGGAATTGTCTTTTAACAGACTGGGAATAGTTCCTCCATCTGAGTTCCAGATGTAGCCACAAAATTTAACAGAGTGGTAGGTGCCTTGGATCTTATGCAGTGTAATTGTGCATCTCCTCCATTGAAATGTTTACTCAGGGTGATTGTGATGAGAAAAATGCTTTTTTGAGTTGCTGCCTAGGCATTTTACATTATGACAACCATGCTTACACGCAGAGTTTGGATATTTAGATAAGGACCTGAGATTAGGATTCTCACCAGAAGTTGTCACTTTGCTTTACCTGGAGCACATTTTAAAATGACTACTCAGAGTTAAGTCTGTAAAAATTGTGACCACCACCCCAACCACCTTACAAATAATTGGTGCTTGCTACCCTGTTCACTTTCTCTGTCCTGCTTGTTCATGACCTGGGACAGAAGACTGCTCATCCCCCAGCTCAT